TGACCGTCACGGAGATGACGATGATGACAAATCGATGATGCTCGGCTTCCTTGTTGACCTTTGTCTTCGCCGTTGTTTTTGCCGATGGCGGAAAATTGGAGTAGGAGTCAAGGGTTGCAACGATCGTAAAAGTACCGATTTCGATGATCGTGATAGTGATGATGATCTATTATGGTGATGGCGACTGCGATGAAAAAGATGGAAAGCCGAGTGATCAAAAAGTGACCACTACATCTACCAAAGAGGATGTGATTGTCAACGTATCAATCTCGCCCGCATGGAAACCTTGTATACGCGTTACTCCGGGGAATGCAACCGTGAAACATATTCTCAGGCTTGGTTCGCACTGGATCTAACCTTGTTGTCGTACCCGGTATTCATAAACATGAATCGGCAAGACCTGTGCAGCTTTTGTTCGCCTTCGCTCTGTTTCGCCCTGCCTTGTCGTGCTGTTCAGCACTGCGCCAATCGTAAACTCGATTGAAGATGATCTTGGCTGGAGTGCAGATGGCATAGCGTGAAAGAGGACATTTTGTTTTCAGTGACTTCTTGTGGTGATGCTGTTGTGTTCCGGGCACGGGAACGCGGGATCTATAATGCAAAGCCCAGCGATGTTTCGCCATAATTATCTTTTATACCTCTTCCAATGCCGCCGCTGATCATTTTATGCAGTCTCAGGACTAGGGCCCACAACATGGAACCCCCCCAAATACGCTGATCTCTGTTCTGCGGACACCATAAGTTCCCATCCAGATTTGAGAAAAACCATCTCCCCCGAATATCTTAAAACGAGAGCAATCCGAAAACGCAAGGTCATCCTCTTCTGTTATGACCTGGAAGCGCCAAACTCCACGTCATCTGCCTCAGCAGGGTGCAAGATCCCTCGAGGACTGGGCCGAATCCATGATGCTCTGCTGATTGGGCGCGCTGGTGTAGCAGCGCACACCCCTGGCCAGATCCGCAAATACAACATTTCTGTACAATGCGATAAAAGCAAAATCATATTTACGTGCTGTGCGCCCTGCGTAAATCGTAACTCCCTCCCCCAGATGGTATGTTCCCTCAGTTCAAGGCCCCCCAGACACCACCTGGGAGAGCGGGAGGGTTGGTTCTCTCTCGGTCCTCCAACTTATGGTGTCTACGACACTCCTTCTTCTAGGAAAACGGAAGAAGGTGGCGAGGTTAACTTGCAGTGTTGCAGCACATTAACAGCAATATGATACACAGCAGGGTCCTGCAGTGTCCCGGAAGCGAGGCGACACTATCTAAGGGTTTCCTTGAATTAGGGGTACCATTTTGGGGATCTTTATAATAGGGATTATAGTATTTTGGGGTCTATATTGGGGTCCCCTTATTTTGGGAAACTACCATCTCGAACATGACGCAAGGTTAGTCTGACCGCTGTGGAGCTTTTTGCAATTCCCGAGGTGCTAGCCTGAAATGGGGGTTTCCCAAAATTAGGGGTACCTTTTTGGGGGTCCATATAATAAGGACTATAGTATATTGGAGTCTACATTGGGGTACCCTACTTTTGGGAAACTACCAAATTGCTTCCCATCTGATTTGTATGACTTCTGCTAGGACTTTTCATCTCGTCCTACCAGGGAGAGCCTGACGGCGTTTGGGGTCAGCCGATTGAGCCAGAGGCTATTAGTATTAAAGTGAGGCAATGCCCAAATGTGCTCGCTCCTGCAATGTAGACATCGCTCAAAACTAGCCCCAAGGTCCATCTTGGGCCGGAGCTGAGATAAGCGTACATTTCAGCCGGTATTGGGGCTCCATTTCTCTGCTTGAGGCTTCTACATGTAGTCTGCTCGTGTGCTCTCGGCCAAGCATTCTGTTTGGACGCACCATGGGCGGCATGGGCAGCGCGATTTTTGCGCGGGCCTTGACAAGGTTAGACCTGCAAACAGTTTGCCCCATGGCGCGCCAGTCCCTGAATCATGTAGCTGTTCCGAGATTAACTGAGAAGACCTTCTGGACTGTACTTCACTTCCCCTAGGCTTCTGACTGGCTACATAAGATTTGGAAGTCAGCCATCTAGTTATGTAGGTACTTTTATCTACCTACATCCATCCATCCGCTCATCCGTGCATGCATACACGCATGCATGCATGAATGCATACATACCGTACATAGATACATGCATGCATACACACATACATACATACACACACACACATACATACATACATACATACATACATACATACATACATACATACATGCCATACATACATGCCATACATACATGCGTACATGCATGCATGCATACATTCATTACAGTAATTACATTACGTACAGTATGATGCATACATACACACATACATGCATAAATACATACATTGATTACATTAATTACAATAATTACATTACATACATTGCATACACACATACATGCATACATACATGCCTACATACATGCCTACATCCATCCATCCATCCATCCATACGTACATACATACATACATACATACATACATGCATACATACATACATACATACATACATCACATACATTATATGCATTGCATACATTACATGCATTACATACATTACATGCATTGCATACATCACATCACATACATACATACATACATACAGACATACATACAGACATACATACGTACGTACATGCATACATACATACATACATACATACGTTAAGTACATGCATGCATTACATGCATTACATACATTACATACACTATATACATTATAGTACATACGTTACATACATTACTTACAAACATACATGCATACATGGATACATGCATGCATGCATGCATGCATGCATGCATACATACATACATACATACACGTAGAAACCTGAATGTATATACATATGCATGTGCTCACACTCATATGTACACTCACATATACATATATATATATAT